TCTCTACGTGGGAACTCAAGCGATTCAACACATTCGGAGCAAAGGTTTGACACCAAACATGTCGACGATCGCAAGTTCGGCTCACATGGATATTTTCCAGAATTTAGGAGTTGATTTGGATACTGAAGGTGTGAATTTGTTTTTGAACACGTCGAGTCTTGGTTGATGTTAAATAATTAAAAAAAATTAAATTCCTCTAATTTGTTTTTCCAGGGAGATATTTGTTTTTAAATGCGATTGCTAATCAGCTTCGATATCCGAATATTCATACGCATTATTTCAGTTGTACACTATTGTATCTTTTGCGGAGTCAAACACGGAGTCGATTCAAGAGCAAATAACGAGGGTTTTATTAGAAAGACTCATTGTGAATCGTCCTCATCCCTGGGGACTCTTGATCACTTTTATCGAACTCATTAAAAACCCGAGTTATAAATTTTGGAACCACGAATTTGTACACTGCGCTCCAGAAATTGAAAAGTAATTAATATTCTTCCTCTTTTTCTTCTTCATCCTCTTCTTTTTCTTCCTCTTTTTCTTCTTCATCCTCTTCTTCTTCTTCTTCTTCTTCCTCTTTTTCTTCTTCTTCTTTTTCTTCTTCTTCTTCTTCTTCTTCCTCTTCTTCCTCTTCTTCTTCTTCCTCTTTTTCTTCTTCATCTTCTTCTTCTTCTTCCTCTTTTTCTTCTTCATCCTCTTCTTCCTCTTCTTCTTCTTCTTCTTCCTCTTTTTCTTCTTCTTCTTTTTCTTCTTCTTCTTCTTCTTCTTCCTCTTCTTCCTCTTCTTCTTCTTCCTCTTTTTCTTCTTCATCTTCTTCTTCTTCTTCCTCTTCTTCTTCTTCTTCTTCCTCTTTTTCTTCTTCTTCTTCCTCTTTTTCCTCTTCCTCTTCCTCTTCTTCTTCTTCTTCCTGTTCTTCTTTAGGATTTTCGAATGGAGGATTTTACTAATTATTTCATGTCTTACGTTTACAGGTTATTCGAATCTGTCGCCAGGTCTTGTATGGTTCCAAAACAAGTGAATCAACAACAAGAAAACGACATTGGCGAACCTCTGGCCGTATGAAATTTGAACTTGGAATTTTACTTTTACTTTTACTTTTTCAAATTTTTTTTTTTTTCAATTTTTTTTTTTTTTTTTTAAAATAACCGTGAAAGGGAAAAATCAGTTTATTT